GGGCATGACAAACAGGTGTCACAAACAGTATACAGAATGCTTACCAGGTGCTTCAGGAAGCTGCCCCTACCTGTGGTGGGGGCATGACAAACAGGTGTCACAAACACACTACTTTTTCAAAACAGGTGCAAGCACACTACTTTTTCAAAACAGGTGTAACAAGCAGTATACAGAATGTTTACCAGATGTTTTAGGAGGCTGCCCCTGCCTGTGGTAGGGCATGACAAACAGGTGTCACAAACAGTATAAAGAATGCTTACCAGGTGCTTCAGGAAGCTGCCCCTACCTGTGGTGGGGGCATTACAAACAGGTTTCACAAACAGTATACAGAATGCTTACCAGGTGCTTCAGGAAGCTGCCCCTACCTGTGGTAGGGCACTACAAACAGGTGTCACAAACAGTATACAGAATGCTTACCGGGTGCCTCAGGAAGCTGCCCCTACCTGTGGTGGGGCACTACAAACAGGTGTCACAAACAGTATACAGAATGCTTACCAGGTGCTTCAGGAAGCTGCCCTTGCCTCTGGTGAGGCATGAAACGTGATATGGTCCATACAAAAAACACACTAAAAAGAGCAATCCCAATCAAAGTATTCCTACGTGATCTGCAAAATATAATTAAGCGTGATTCAAGATACAATCCTTGAATTGAAATTTCTATCTAACTCTAAGACAAAATAGGGAGCTGTTTTTCAGTCCTGTAATAAGCATGGGATATAGAAATAATTCTGAGGAATTGGATGTGAAACCTTTGGATTTCACACTTCCCTGCTCATCACTCAGCCACAGAGACGTAATTACAGTGAGACCTTTCTTACCTCCACATAAGACATGCACAGACATGCACAGATATGCACCCTGCATAATACTGCTAGGATAAGAACTACTGAAAGCCCCTAATGAGTTACCCTTTAACTCAGACATGATTAACATGTGTTTTCTCCCTCTAATAGCCATACATTATCCAGTAAAAAGGTAATGGGAATATTCAAATTTTTGTGGCAACTAAAAGGGAGAATTAACAATCAAATCTTTGGGGTTAAAGGATTAACAGAATAATAAAGATAGTGGAGGAAAAAGGGAAAATATTCTGAAACAAATTGAAGGACCAGGACCCTGTTTCTTTAAAATATGAAATGAATGCTCTTATTTAAAGATGACTGTTTAGATAAAAGAGGAAAGTCCTTATCTGAGGATTTGCTTCCGACAAATTTCTTCTTATTACTGTAAAAAAAAAAATGTCGATTTTACAATAATTTATATTGTACAGAAAATAACTATTCCGAAAAAGTCATTTTCAGTTTCTAGAAGGGACGGCCAAAAATAATTTACTATTTGTCAGAATCAACATATCCGCAAATATGTGTTAAATTTTGAGCTCAGGATTAAAACAAGTAACAAATTAATCACAATTAAATGCTAAAAGATGGATATTGTTGTTTGTTTGAGTTTAAATCCAGAGGTGCTACGCTTCCTAACAAGCTTAAGTGATACCTCAAAAGCGTCAGAAAAGCGAATCTCCCTTTCAGCCATGTTATAAAATTTCCAAAGTGCGTCACTACCCACATAGGGATGATTCCCTTTGATGCATACGCTGAAATATTATTATTTTGTTACGATCGCTTTTTTGTTCGCTTTGCGGCCATCTTGACGACTGCAGGAATCAAAAACAGCGGATCGTATCTAAATTTTATGCGCAACCATACTGATAGCGTACAAACGCTGACCAAAGTTATTGTCTCATTGATTTAGTCGGCCTAGTCCCTAGTCTCTAGTTAGAAAAAACGCCTTGCAAAATCTTGTCCAAATGATGTGAACTTAAGGGTTGGGTTTAATTCTTGCCTGTAGCTTTTACCTTTAGCCTAGAGAACGGCTCACTTTGCAAAAATGCATCGCATTTTTTCAACTCATGGTGTGCGATTGCTGCGATCATTGTCCTTGGAATTTCGCCTCCCACGGCCATTATCAAATCGTGCGGTTTTCTTCCCTCGGCGTTCAAGGGGGATCACCTCATCATTTCCTTATGAGAGAAGGAACTTTTCTAAACACAGCGATACTCCAGCTTCGTCAGATGTAGACGATGAGCACCCAGAGAGTGCAGAAATACTACAGGATCTACGAGCTCGTCACCATTACCATCACGACATAGATGCGGGGAAACTTCACGAGGTCTACGTTGTAGAACCCGATTTTAAATGGGGAAGAAATCGCTTCCGAGCCGTCTCGAGCCAGCATCGACTAGATGAAGCATGTGCACTGGTGGATTCGATCGAAAGCTGGAAGGTTGCTGGCAGAAGTATAGAATCTGTGAGAAGGGTGGACAGAAAAACATTGTTTAGAAAAGGAAAGATCGAGGAGCTCAATGAAAGATTTAGAGAACTGAAAAATTCTTCTTCTCCCTTTGACAGTGTATTAATTGATGTTGATCGGCTCCATAACTGGCAACATACACAGTTAGAAAACATTTGGGATGTTAAGGTCTATGACAGGTTTGGTGTGGTGTTGCAAATTTTCAAGGAGAGAGCCAAAACTGCAGAGGCAAAGATTCAGGTGGAATTAGCAGAATTACCTTACATCAGGTATGTTCAGTCTAAATCACATACTTTTAACATGACTACAAACAATTTTTAGGATGAAGGTAGCCTTCATTATAGCATGGTTAATTGCTTAATTTCATTACAAAATATAGCCCTCATTTAACCCTTTAACTTGTAGAAGTGATTAACCTACAACTTCTCTCTATATTATCCATACATGATCCAGCAAACAGGTAATGAGAATACTCAAACTTATCAGGTAGAAGTTGTTAGCTTCAGTGAACACCAAATTCTTGTGACCAATTTACAAGGAAATGTATAGCAGCTAGAGCGAAGAACTTATAATCAGATCTAGGGAGTTAAATGGTCAATTTAATTAAGCTAATAAATCAAATAATACTCAAACATACTCCCGTCAAACCTTGATTGTCCAGACTCGTGAAGACAGGGCTTAATAGTCCAGTTAATCAATAGTCAGGATAATTGAAAATATCAATAAAAATGTTCCTGGATAATGGTTCTAGTAAAGCAAATCTTGATAATTGAAAAATCGAGTTCCAGATAATTGAGGTTTGACTGTATCAACAGAGAGGCTGTCTGGTATAGAAAACAGAACAGTTGTGAGTGACTGCCCTAATGAACCACTGGATGAGAAAGGAAAATGACTTAGAGGTGTACAAATGAGGACTGAAGGGTGCATGAATGAGCTAAACAATTGACTAACTGAACTTAAATCCCTATGCAATCTTTTATGAGTACCTGCAGTAGCTTAGTTAGTTTAGTTTAGTTTATTAGCTTCGCTGACAGGCAGGGACACCACAACAGCTTGCGCCAATTACTGTGGGCCCAGTAAACCCACCCATCTCAGCCCAGGGGAGGACATCCATCACACAGTCAGTAATCTCGTTCATGGGAAATTAACGTCTCCTACCCCTAACCCTGCAGGAGATGGGACCTCCATTTATTCGTCCCTATCCGAGAAGACTAGAATATCTAACCATTTCTTGATGTTATAGAAAGGCAGCATATCCTTCTTGAGTGTTGGTCTGGCCGGGACTCGAACCATCGACCTTCCCACACAACCGTCCAGTGCTCTATCCTTTGAACTAAGTCACAGTAGTCACAAAAAGTAGTCACAGCAGTCACAAAAGTCACAGTAGCGTGACTGTGACTTTTGAAAGCAATAGGAAAACCAACTTTAGTTAGCACTGACAGTAATCTGCTGATTTTAAATTACTTGCGCTGAGTGAGTTGGCATAAGTACATTGTACAAGTATGAAGCAAGACTCTTTCTGTACCAATTTTCATGTTTGTAAGTTCGAAGTACATCACCCAACATTGGACAATATTTCTGGTATAGGATACCTGTCACTGGAAAGAGCTCCTTAGTATTCACCATATTTAGAGCTACATGTATTTCTACCTGTAACCATGTCTAATATATGGACAGGTCAAGATTGGTACATACAGGGGGTTTTGATCAGCAGAGAGGTGGAACATACACCATAGGAGGATCTGGAGAAACAATCCTAGAAAAGCAGCGAAGGATCTTATTTGAACGTGAAATAAGACTGAAAAAGAAGTTACACGCCATCAGAAAGCAGCGTGAACATGTTAGGCATGAGCGACAAAAGAAACATATACCTACTGTTGCAGTGGTTGGTTACACCAATGCAGGTAGTGAAAGATGTATCTTATTTGTATTCACAGCTGTATATGCTCTGTAAGAGTGTAACTTGATCAATTCCAAGTTTATCAGTCCTTCAAAATTTATACACGTTTCATCCCTTTTCCTGTGTTTGAGTTGTACTAGGAGTGGGCATGCTGAGAACAAATTTAGAATACCAGTATTATGCTTCAAGTTTACAGAAAATGCTTGTACTAGAATTTGTGGTTCAATAAGTGTACCCTCTTTTTCCTGTTATTGAAAGCAAGTCTTTTAAAAGAACAGAGTATGTATAAATTGGCCATTTTCAATTTAAACAATATTTTGCCATAATTATCATATCTCTGTTTTGTGTAAATTGATTTTGTTTGTTGTGATATCCTTTAACAAAGAACAATGTCAATTAAAATACTTTGAAAACTTTTGCCTAAAAGTTAGAGCCACCAAATTTGTCTTTATGTCTTTATTTTTTGGTAACTTTAGATGTGGATGAACAGTTTAGTACTTTTTCACATGGCAGGTAAAACCACTTTGATTAAGTCATTGACAGATGAAGCTAAGATGCAGCCTGAAGACAAGCTCTTTGCAACTCTTGACGTGACAGCACATCCTGGGAAACTGCCGTCAGGCATGACTGTTCTCTTTATTGACACAGTTGGATTTGTGTCTGACCTGCCACCAGAACTTGTGGAGTCTTTTTCTGCAACATTAGAAGATATTTTAGATTCTGTAGGTTTAGCCTTGTTAATCTGTAAATGCTACATGTGTAGGTGTGTTGTAAATATACTGAGTCATTTTTATGACATCATTCTGACTGAATTCTGCTCTTAAGCAATATGGCAATTAGCAAGCCATAGCTGGTCTTGGCTTCTGCACCATGAAAGCAGTATTAGTACTTTTCATTCCCCCTTCCCCTACCCCCCCACCCAAACCTGGATAACCACTCTCCCCCTAGTGTTCTACCCAGGCACTTATTTGAGGAATTGCAATGTGGTGTATGTAAAATTTTTAATTGTGGAAAGGTGTATTCAAAGGTTTCTGGAGCATTCTAGTCCTTGAATGATGATTGTCTTGGTATCTGGGAATATATTTGTAACATTTGGTTCTTGTAACTCCAGTGTATTGCTATTGTGTAGATTGACATGTGTGTGTTATAAACTTTTTCATTGATCCCATTACACTATTGGATCAATTGAATATTCATTTATCTAATTTTTTCCAATTTGACATTCTTTTCTACTTTTCCTTTTACGCACAGGATTTAGTTGTACATGTGCGTGATGTTAGTCATCCAGAATGTGAGGCGCAACTCGATGATGTCATGACAGTTCTTGAGAAACAACTTGTCATTAAGGGACCTTTGATAGAAACCATGATAGAGGCACAGAATAAGATTGATCTTTGGTACGTGTTGGGTGACAGGAGCAAGGGAGTGTAGTCAATTCTTGATAAGTGAAAATCAACTCTCTTTTTTTCCCTTTTTTTATTGAGAGGGTAAGGAATACGAATTTTTTACATTTTAGAAGGGACACAATGAATTTAAATAGGTACCAAAAATTTTACTGAAACTACAGGACAAATTTGGATTAAACATGGAGTGGCCTGAAAGGAGATGGAATTAATTGGATTGAAGTTGAAAGTTTCAACCCCTTTAAGTTTATTTTTGTTTGAGAAGAAGTTTGGTTACCGTTGGAAAGAATCTCATAACTCTTGCCATTCACGTTTGTTAAAAATGCATCCCAACCAGAGGGCAAAAGACTGGACTCAAAATTGATTTCTGACTCAGTTTTGAAGTCTTTTCTAAATAACGGATGCATACAGTAGTTAACTTGTGGTTTTCGGTTTTGCTGCCTTTTTTCGTCGGTTTTTCGGTTTTGGAGGTTTTTTTTCTCCGGTTTTGTGGTTTCCCAGAGGCCCCAATGCCCCCCTCCTAACAACGGATACATACAGTAATTAGCTTGTAAATGTCTGGATCTTCAAAGCTGTTCACTCCTTCCATTTTCAGGATAATTTAAAATAATATTTGTAATTGATACACGTTGCAACGTACATGTAATATCCCTGCACTTTCTGTCTCTTTTCGTTGTTCTAGCGATGACAAGGGATTGCAAGTTAGATCCGGCGTATTTAGCGACAGACAGACCAAGATAAGTGCGTTAAACAAAACAGGCTTGAGTGAGCTCCGTGCAATGATCGAGAAAGGGATCATAGCATCAACAGGGAGACAGATCAAGAAACTTGTATTTCCTCCAGATGGACCACAGCTTAGGTGAGACATGGGAAAGCAGTCAGAAATATTGAATTTCAGAGAAGTAAATAAATACAGTTGAGAGCAACGTTTACAATAAACGTAGCCTGCATCATCATCATCATCATCATCATCATGTTTATTTGTTCAAGCAGGTTGAATTTATTGGCAACTGTATAAGCTGATGTGGACCTGCTGTTTTCCCACCCAACCCACCCCAGGGGAGGACATCCAGCACACAGTAATCTCGTGCGTGGGAAATTAACGTCTTTTACCCCTTACCCTTTAAGAGACGGGACCTCCGGCTTTACGTCCTATCCGAGAAGACGAAACAATGTGAGTGAAGTGTCTTGCTTAAGGACTCAACGTGAAGCCCCAGCCAGGACTTGAACCCGGGCCGTTTAACCCAGAGTCCAGCGCACTGACCACTGGACTACTCATAGTCCAGCGTTTCCGTGCTGTTTACCCACAGGGAGCCCAGACAAGCGACGAGTCTGGTTGTTTATTCGAAATTTAAAGGAATGTACGGGAGAATATTGAAGAGTCTTATTATCGGAAACTTATATCATGAAATGTCTGAATTAAAGCTCAAAATAAATGTAAACCTATCTCACTTGCTGTGTATTGTCATTTCTGTGGCTCTAAATGGCGAATTTGAGTGATTTGGTGGGTTTTGTGTCGACTGTTAACTATACGTTATAAGAATCAACGTATAGTAACAGTCCACGCAAAACCAACCAAATCGCTAGCATTCGCCATTTAGAGCCACAGAAACGACAATATACAGCAAGTGAGGTAGGTTTACCTTTATTAAACGACAATACTGGGGGTTGCATAATATGCACCTATGGAGTGGTAGAAATACTCTTACTTGCATGCCCTCACTTGCTTCATTCTAGACAAACTAGATTAAGCGTAGGAATGGGACTGTCACTTTTTCACTTCATAATTTTTTTCTTTTCTGTTTGACTTTTTGTTGTAGCTGGCTTTACCATGAGACAACAGTTCAGGACACATCAGCCGACGAGGAAGGAAATATTGTTGCTACAGTGGTCATGGATGAGGCAGCGAGAAAAAAATACCAAGCAAAGTTTGGCAAGATTGATTAAAGGCCTGAAAAATGCCCGCCATCTTTGTTTTAAATGGCAGCGGAAATTTTGTACCAAGGGGATGAGTGACGGTCAAAAATGAGAAGAGGGGCTGGGGTGGGGAGTGAATATTACTTCTGGCCCTTCCCCTGCCCTTTACCTCCACCGTCCACTCTGACTCCATTTTAAGACTTAAATGACAAAAACCTCCATACTTGACGTTGATTATGACATTCACTCAGATTGTCCAATGAATGGGCACTGTCGACATCTTCAGCCCTCTATTAAGAACAGCCCTCGATTGGACGGTCAGACGTCGCAAACAACAGAGAATATTAAGTCATCCATTTTCTTTTTCAATGTACGTTTTTAATGTTTCTCCTTTTGAGGTAAAAAACGTGTATTTAGTTATTACATTGCCTCGATGCGTTAAATTATTTCGCTGAATGACCTTTCCGGATATAAGCTCCCAGCCCATGATATGAACGCGCACCAGGTATCTCTAAATTGTGCAAACCCAAGGCGTATAATTCCTTTTTTAATTCTGACACGAATAGAGAACAAGATGTTAATTGGTGCGCCCTCTGATGATTGATACCGCATGGTTTCTAGCGCAAAATACTTCGTTCTCAGGATCCTCTGGGTAATTTCGAGAGAGTTGGGAACCAATTTCTCTTCCCCGGCCACTCATTTTGACGCGCTGCGTGCATTAATAATAATATACGTTAATTGAGGCTCCCCCATAGGGGCTTTTCAGCCACAATGTAGTTTTAACTAAGTACTTAAAAATCCCCACTGGCAGGAAGCGACTAGTGAGCTATTTACAGAGCGCAGCCGAGGAGTTGAACTAGGGGCAACCGAGAACAAATCCAGTGAGTGGCAGGGTGGAGGACTTGGACCCGGGCCACTGGAATTCAAGTCCAGCACCCTAACCACTCGGCCACGCCGCCTCTAGCAAAACTCCATTAAAACTCTTTGTCAATTTGACAAATTATCGTCATAACATACTTGGTTCTAAAGCAAATCACTTTCTCAGGATCGAGATAATTTTCATAATGTCGAGAACTAGTTTCTCGTCTGTAAGGGGTGAATGTACTGGCGCCTTTGAGACAACTCGTTATATTACTGTCATGACAAACATACCCACTTCAAGTAAGCACGAGAGAAAATAATTACATTTTTTTCTGTTGGTATAAATTATCTTCTCTAGGCGCAATCAGGCATGTGAAAGCCCAAGCACAGAGCGAAAGAAAGCAAAACCAAACTAATTGCGAGTTACCCCGACACTCAAACAAAATTGCTCTAAACTGTTTAGAATCTTGACATTTTCGTGAAATGCCCAAGTTCGCTCTTAGTTGATGGTATCTACTTAGTTAAATTTCTTTTTAAACATATTTACAGGGTACAGTAGGGCTGATCTCGAAAACATGTCGTCTTGTATTGATAAGTTAAGTCCTAAACCACCTGTTCCCTTTCAAAAGACACCCTCTCGGATGAAAAAGAAGGTTTCCTGCAGGTCCCCTCAAGAACGGCCCGCAAAGAATTTCTGAAATTCCTGCTCACCATCTCGTAAATAATGGGATTACAAGACGAATTGACCACCACTAGCAAAATGCACAGATAAGCGAGGCTGTGGAAGAAAGGCATCTGAGCAAAACTGGGCCAGTAGGCCAGAGTCAGATACAACAAGTTCAAAGGAAGCATTGTAATTGCAAACACAATGACCACAGGAGTGAGTACACGTTGGGCTTGCTTGTTTTCTTTTAATCTGCGACAGACCGGTGCATTACTTGTGCTGCTGAGGCTTGAAAAGGTTTGACGTGATGTAGCTGTGAACGAGCTTGTAGATTCCCTATCCACTGACTTGTAATAGTATACGATAAATGTCGTGCTTTCTTTGAGTTTCCCTCTTAATACAATGTAGTTCCACAAAATTACACCCATTGGAACTCCAAACCAGAACAAAAATAACACGATGGAGTACACTTCGTGAAACTTGTCATATTTACCCCAATGATAGAGACACAATTTTCCATTTCCAGTGTCAATAAATTCAATCATAATGTAAAATGGTGTAGAAGTTACCAAAAACGACGCAATCCAAATGGCTGCAACGACTTTCATTGCACATCTCGATGTCGACATTGTTGGTACAGTTTGAGTTGCCGATATTCTCCGCCATCTTTCCATGGAAACAGCTGTTACTGCCCATACTGACGCGCCAAAAAATACATCTGACAAAGGAAAAATGATTCTGCAAACATACTCACCAAACGGCCAGCTAATCTCACTTCTGATGATTACCATGGGATAGGCTATAGTGAGAATTCCCATATCGGCCACAGCTAAGCTTATCAGATACTGCTTTATGGGTGATTTGAAGGGTTGGTGTTTGCTCATCAGTGTGACGCAGGTGAGGATATTCCCTAACATACCAACCAATGCAATGAAACTAGTGAGAGTCAACTGCAGTATTGGTTCCGCGCCAAAGTAGGTCATAGTAGCTGAAGTAACGTCTGTCGTAGAGTTGTTCGTCATTCTTTTAAATCATACCTCTCCGTGAAAAAGCTGTTTTCCTGAAGATAAAAATGGTATTGTTCCCGTTTGAAAACAAGAAGAAATGTCTTATCGTAATATATAACCAAAGAAATGATGTTAACTTAATATTGATACAACAAACAATGCACCACGGTACAAGACAATGCCTACGTTATTCGCACTACTGACTGTGAGTTATACATAATTTACAGCTTGAGTTAAGCAATACAATACTTCAGGACGATACATTGCTTGAATAAGTCTCATTGTCTTGTAACTTACTGGAGTGACTTTCTCCTTTATTATTCTTTAGAGTCATGTGAATTGGAAAATTGCTTTCTTGGTCTGTTTCGTATCTAAGAAGATTTTATGTTGATGATCATTTCACTATCCTGACTTTTTAAGATTTGATATTACATTACAGTCTTAAAATTTGTAATGCAGTTTCAAACTTGGCTGGAAAGAAAGCCTCGAAGAAAGAAATTAAAGTGTCGTGTTTGTACGTGCGCTTACTGTTTTTTACGTTGCCAATTAGTTTAGCATATTGTCCACAGAATCTTGTGACGATATTGCCAGATGTTTTTTGACATGCACGTCAAAACAATCTATATCTAATATCTTCAAAATCTTCTTTAATTGTCTTTTTCTGAATAAAAAGGGATGAGTTCAACCAAGAAAGAGTAGTGGAAGAACTCAAGGAACGTTCGAAGTCAATAAGTACTCCACACCGCACGCGAAACTGGGTGCGTGATACTGGCCTGTAGAATTCCAATTGTTAAATTGTTTTTCAATCATATTCAGTCAAAGTAATTTAATCGTTATGCTTTGTATTAAAATGATTCAAATTCTCTTTGCCTTACTAAAAGATTTTCATAAATATATATATTTTTTTCACGTAGAAAAAGTCAACAAATCGCAGTCCCTCCAATCTTAGGAAAATGGTTTAGGCCAATAAAGGACCCTTCGCCATTTTCTTTTTTTTTTTTTTTTTTTTTCAAAAATTGATAAATGTTTGAATTTTCAATGGTTTTGAACATTCTGATTAATTGCACCATCATTATAAATCAATCAAACCGCAACTGCAGATTCAATTGACAAGATATTCTGATAAGATACGCCAATGACAGGTTTTGTTAACATCGCTCCGGGCTGCAGCGAGGCATTGAGCGTAAAACCAGCGCGCTATGCTCAAAAGATTTATACCAAAACTGCACGAAAAGCGATAACTTGGAGGAGAACAAAATGGAAAGGATTAGAAGTTGCCTCAAAACAAAAGATATTCAAAATTCGTGAAAAATCCCTAAATTCCAGATTCTTATTCTCTGACGGAGAACGTTGGTAATTAATTTAAAAGGTTTTTCTTTCGTTTAAGACTTCCAGTACCTTTCTGAATATGCATGACCCTTAAAACGGAAATTAGCAACTTTTCTATGCATCGACCTTCTTTTTTTTCATTTTTCTACATCTCTATTTCAGAGGAAATAACCCAGTGACTAATAGGGAAGAGATGTATACTCGCTGAGCTTAGTTTGAACTCTTTTTACTGCCAGTTCAGTCATTATAAGTGCTTACGGGAATCGAATTTGATCGAATTGTGCAACAAGCAGAAATAATTCTTCTACGTAAAGATGTTCATAAATTAAGCACCATATATACAACCATCTATTGTTTGACGCTTCACTAAGACCAAGCTTGTGCACAACAGAGACGCATCTTCATATCGCTATACTTTTTAAGATTGAACAAGCGGATCAAAACACCGTAGAGGTGTATGCGCCCCAAATATCAACTGAACAAGATAAATGTTATCGGAAGAAATCATCTTTCAGCATTTAGTTCGCGTTCATAGCTTAACAGACAGAAATCAACTGAAAACTTACCGGCCCCGTGATTATGTGGCGTGTAAATGTTTGATAATGACTGATCGTGCTCTATCCAGCCACCCACTCTAAGCAAAATGCTGAGAGAGTAGTAGCCTCTGCTTTCAAGTTCCAGTTTCGTGCAAATATTTCTACTTCTAAGAGTTCATTTACATTGTGGTTTGAAAGGTGCACATGTCACGGCGACAACAAAAGTGCTTTGTATTGTTTTATAAAGAACATGGACAACAATTAGAATTTTATTTTAATAACTCCATGTCACGAGTTTTGAGTGGTTTTTGCGCGTCGTAAAAAAGTGCCTTTCTCGAAAGAGGGACTATGGTCTACTATTAATTTTTTGTATATTAATATACACAGCCATCTATTGTTTGATGCTTCATTAAGACCAAGCTTGTGCACAACAGAGACGCATCTTCATATCGCTATATTTTCGAAGATTGAACAAGCGGAACAAAACACCGTAGAGGTGTATGCGCCCCAAATATCAACTGAATAAGATACATATTATCGGAAGAAATCGTCTTTGAGTATTTAGTTCGCGTTCATAGCTTAACAGACAGAAATCAACTGAAAAGTTACCGGCCTCGTGATTACGTGACCGTTTCCTCAGCATATGCTCCCTTAACTAGCATTGTCTGCAATGACGTGAGAAATATATAGATGCTTTATCAATTCATTCATTAATTTTTTTTGAGATTTGACTAAGCAGTCGTGTCTTCCGACAACGGCCCCAGTCAAAAGTAATACACCGCGGGTTCAAATTATGTTTGTCATTCCTGGTAGGCTTCCAGGGTTCATCTAAGTTTACTATTCGGCCATTAAACGGAAGAACCTTGGGGAGTTTCACTGGGACTATCTTTAATTCTTTTGTGGCCAAATCACAAACAATAACACAAGAACAAACAGCTAAAAGGCATAAAAGGGCAAACAAAAAAATCGACATATTCTAAAAAAAATTCACCAACTCTATCCATTTACACTATTTGCTCGACTATTTTTGCCATCCGTGAGAATAATCCCCCAAGCTACACAGACTACATTCCTTATATTCTTGACTCGATTCTAGCGGAAAGCTTAACAAAACAAAAAAGAACACGTGTACATGGAGACAAACTACATCTTGATGTGCTTAGCCTGCGGGCTAACGATGCGGTTGTCGGCCATTAAGCAGTCAAATGTGTGTTACTAAATCACACGTTCAAGGTGGTAAGGCGATTCATAGTCTAATTGGGGGTAAATGTATTATCAGTACAACAGGTAGCTCAAGGGCATTATACGAGTACATCTGAATGCGAACGTTCTTACACAAAAGTAGAAATACAGCGATTTGTACGTGAAAAACGCTGCACGTTTTAAATCAGAAACCCCAAAATATTCGGCTCTAATAAAACATAATAATGGACCTCGCATCAATGTTTTTTTTTCCTTTTTCGGTATGGGTTTTGGGTCTTCGGGAATGTTTTGAGTTCCTTCGATTTTTCTTATTAATGTTAAGCAGGAATTACAGATTGTCTAATTCCTATTTAAATTCACGACTCAGACACAAGAGTGGGTGTGCAGCTCGAAGTAGGAGCCTGAGTATTTAATGCCGTCCGACAAAGTTACACAGAATAGGGAACAACTAGTCTGGCATCACCTCTCGGGCTAAAACGTTTTGTGCCCCCGCCTGATACGAAAACCCAAAAAACCTAATGAGAAAAATAGGAACGTATTCCCCATCCAAATGCAGGCGCACCAACCTCTGGGGTTAGAGGTAAAACAGCTTAATTACATGCAAGATAGAATTTAACGTAGAACTAGAAAAGTTCGAGAGCTGAGATGAATACATTACAAATGTCAAACTTTAAACACGCCTTACAACAAAAGACTCACTTAACACCATAACGGCCCACGTGCTAACATACCAATAGCAAAATATATATATTCTTTGTCACTGCCACTTACAGTTTAGTTCCGTCGAATGTAAAATACATTTTCTACCATTCAAAGACTCAATGATAATTCATGAGCTGATTAGCCTATCACACGAGGCAAATCGATCACGTGTATGAAATTTATAGCCCTTATAGAATGATCATTCTGAAAACGGCCCGGAGAGGGTTTTGATTTCGGTCTCGGGGGAATCGGGGTACAATTCATAAACAACGAAATCATCACTGAATTATTAATGAAAATATGATTACTATGATCTTTATATAACGATCACGTTAATTATAATACCAAATTATTCCCCAAAAGGCAGCATACAAAAACATAAACCACAGTCAACATCAAAGTTTATTTTCCTGATAAATTCTTGTTAGAACAGAAATTCGTTCTTTTACAATTTCCTATTGTTCACAAAAGTAATTGTGCAGTTTTGAATACTCTCAACTTCAACTCTAAATCCTATTTCCTCCCAGTTGGCGTCTTTATTTCTTCTTGAACTTTGCCACTCGCCAAAACTTTTGTAAGCTCACTTTGTGGCATAGCAAGTAGCCCTTGGAACACAACTATCCAAATAATCGTTCTCTTCCTTCGCATTTTTTAGCTCTCGAGACACGCGTTTGGGCGGCATTTCAAGGAAAAGCTTTCTGAACTTTAACAGCAGCCGAACAAGGAGCACTTTCCCCCTCTGTATGTAATTAACTTTTAATGCATTCAAATCACGTTTAGATAAATCCGTAGAGAGGCACGGGTTTTTGAAGCTATTTAATGCATTCATATAACGTTTGGAAAAATCCCTAGAGAGGCACAGATCTTTGAAGCTATTTATCATGATCAGTAATTGCATGATTTGCATCAACAATAAACTCAAAATTAATAAGAAAAAATATCATCAAGTAGGACCAAGTTCCGAAAGGTGAACAAGATTTCAAGTATTTTGCTTACCTGATGTGATCAAAAGTTTCACTTGGTCACAGTTCAGCTTCAAAGGCGAGAGGAAAAAAAGCTTCGGTGATGAATCCTGAATCGTGCCGACTAAATCTTGCCGCAACAACAATTTTATAAGCTGACAGTCGATTGCTAACACAAATACTAAAGTTGCTCAGCAGGAATCTCTGTGGAATTCTGAATCGCTGGCAGTCGGTAAATGTTAATGATTCAGAACCTAATATTCCGATTGAAAAGCAAAAGGCCTACACTCAGACCATTTTCTCGAACAGAACTCCTTCTTAGTTTCTTTGAACACTTTTGAACGTGTCCTTGGAACTATTTAAACAAATTGCTTTAGACCCTTGAGACATACGTCATTGTCGACAATGTTTCCGTCAGACTGAAGTGTTGTTATAAAAGTCATCATAATAGATTAGATTTTCTGTCTTCAATTACTTATATTCTTGTTTTCATGGCCAGGATGTGGAGATCTTAAAATCGTTGTTATTCTTTGAAAGTAGTAACAGAGCGTCTGAAATCATGGAAATTTCGTGTGGCGAAGAAGTAGCTAGTTTTGGAAAGTAATTAGTGTTTAAAAGCTTCGAATTCCGTCCCGAGGTTTCAAGCAGCAAATTCAATGAAAACTTGAGTATGTTTACTCTACCGATCACAGTTAGCTTTTTTTTTTAATGAAATTTTAAATCTCTCAAAGCACAGCTTGAACTCCAAAAGTACCTAATCACCTCAACACGTTGCGTCGCAGCGTCAGTCAAGTACATGCTAGGGAAATTTAAAATTAAGTTTCAGTCTTCAAGTTGTCCCTGCGACAAATTAGTCTGCATATAAATTAGTAGCAGTGACACAGTGTTTTTGGGTAGTTTGGAAAATAGGGAATGCCGGAATTCGGAACCGGAACCGGAACCGGAATACTCAGAATACCCGGAATGATCGAAAAATAACAATTTAAAAAAAAAAACAAAAGTAAATTAATGGATAAATAAGAATATTGATGATAAAAAAGTGATGATAAATTCACAACTTATTTAAACAATTTAATACGAAATTTTTCTCTGAGGGTCCCAAAAATAAACACTTACCGGCACTGTTCATGGAGATGCATATGCACGTATTAGAATTTAAAAAAAGTCTGCGCGCGTCAGGCCAGTAGCCCAATCGACGAAATATTTGTACTCTCTCTTCCCCCTCGGGATGGGATGCTAATCCATCACATGGTTTCTTCCCGTTTTAAATTCGCCTCCACTCATTTGCACACCTGTACTAGTGCGCCATGACCATTTGGCCACCACGCTTTTCCAGCCGGAACCATTACAGAAGATTAAGCAAATGCAATATTTCCAATTAGTTTAATAGTTCAAGTGTAAAAAGCTCCGAACTATTACAAATTAATACTCTACCTTAAATAATTATTAACCACACATTGGGAGCTATCAAAGCAGCTACCATTAAGACCAGCCGTCTACGGTAAAAATTGAGAGATCGTCAGTTACTCGACGCCTTTTCGCGTTTATTATAAATACCTTGAATATATACCTTAGAATATAAACCCTGTTTAGAAGAATCCATCAGTACAAGGTTTATATTCAAAGGTATATACTCAAGGTATACAGAATATGGCTTTTTCAACCACGCAATTCGCATAGGAGCCCAAATCCGTATATTTGTTTCTCAAGTGTATCGAACAGTACAAGGAGCGCGATCTCGTCAGGTTTCTGCATCTTGTTAAACTGTGATATGTCAGGCTATTTCCTTCAACTTCAGGGCTCATGAGCCCAATTGCAAGGTGTTCGCGACAGCCAAAATGACATGTTTAAGGCGAGGCCTTTGGAAACAAATACATTTCAATTTTCATAGTCTAACCTAAACATCATTTAATGGGTAAAAAATCTGTATGAATCCATCACCACACAACATTTTTTTTTTTACAACGCCGTCTTCAAAGGACACATCAAAGTTAATTATAGTTTCTTATGATTTATCTTGTGTTATCATATATCCAGAGAAATTAATGCTCACATTACTTGGAGACTTATTTTCTTTTGGTCATAGATATTCTTAAATTAAAAATTAATCGATTAGTAAGGCTTCCCGCGGAAAAAACAAAACTATTCTAAGTGCCAGTTTTTAAAATAAACTTAAAACGTTCTATCTGATTGCATATTCTTAATTTTAACGATTAGTAAAGCTTTCCGCAAAAAAAAAACAAAACAAAACGAAACGAACAAACAAAAAAGACGATTAATTTCCTAAGTGCCAGTTTTTAAAATATACTTATAACGTGCTCAGTTTTGATGAAAGCACTACTTGAAAAAGTTTTTTTTTTCACTCCTGGCTAGCGGATGTCGATGTGTTGGTCGAAGCATCAGGGATGTTTGATTTATCTGTTGCAATGCGAACTTCGATGTTCTGAAGCTCCGTTGTGGCATGAACAGTAGTAGCCTTTGGGCGTGGAACCATTCCTTTGAGTTTCTGTCTGAAGTTTTCGCTGAGCAGGGCATACACAAAGGGATTGATGGTAGAATTAAACAATACCAGAATGTTGGAAATTGCGATAACGACAGGACTCAACTGAAAAACCTTGAGGCTATGCAAGGTGTAGAGAACCTGGATTGTGCCCCAACAGACTCCAAATATGACACTGACAATCACAGCCATTAAGGTGACCCGTTTGCGGACTTTCTCTACACCCTACGGATTGAAAAGTGTTTAAAAAATGAAATATTTCTAAACAAAAGAAGGAACGTGATTAAGACCAAGATTTCTGAATTTTTAAACCCCGCGGTACTCATTTATTTAATTAGCATTTTACTAAATAGTTCTGAGCAGTTCCTCTATCTTTCTTTTTCTACCGTCGGACGCTATCTTTAGAGCAGTAACTGAGTACAGGATTTTACAGAGGCGAGATATTTTTAATCATTTTACGACGGCAATCATACGGTGGTTTGGAGCCAATTTAGCGGAGACACAAACTTGGGCGCACGCCTCTAAGAAGACATTCAAAAAATGAAAAAAAGAAAACATGACGAATATCCCCCTTTTACTTTTCGTCAATGCAATGTAATCTTTTGTCTAAATAATAAGTCTTGTGTAGCCTAAAAGTTTTTGTTAAGAATGACTGGACATTGATTCGGTCTACTTCTAATCTTGGAAACAGAATAAACTTGAAGGACTAAGGTAATATCTGGCAATCTTGCTGCCGATCTTGGTCAAAGACAAAAATAACAAGAAACGAAAACAAACAAATGCAAAATAAACAAAACAACAACAACATTAAAACATAAAAAGAAAGCGAAAAAGGAAAAACAACGTGAGCGACAACGAGCGCAAAAGACAAAACACTTTTGAATTTATTAACCAAGGAAGTCAAATACTTGTGAAAAATATTTCGTGGCCAGGTGTCACTCGGTTTCAAGAGCACATGAACTGTTTATACTGTCTTAGCGGTGTTTGGACTTAGCCAAGAAAGTTATCAAGTTGATTTGAAATTTACCAAGAAAACTCATTGAGTATCACGCTGACAGTCCCGTTTGTAAAGTAGAAGATGTAAGCTGTCTGTCCCAGCCTGATACGAATAGTTGCGTCATGCTAGCTACGAAAAATGTTTTCGCGAATAAAAGTTGAAGATCTCAAAACGAGAAAAAAGAGAAAGAAAGAAAACCATAAAAATGGGATTACATCATTTATCACTATAACGCACTTCTTTGTTAGTATTTACCTTTTGCTGAGACGACACAGGATTGGCAACGATATTTGGTTTAAACCATAACGTACGCACTACTCTGGAGTACAGTATTACCATCAATAACAATGCAACGAATACTAGGATGGTGATCCACAAAGTATAAGCAGTGTTGGTCCACTCTTCAGGAAAGTTTTCATAACAACGACCATCATTGAGCTTCATGTACATGGTGTTAGGGATGCAAACTATCCCGGCGCCGACCCAGAAGGCTGTTATCATCACCTGCAATGAAATAGCTCAAAATTTAAGAGTTCGAAAACAAATCGTTCGCTGTCATGGAAAAAATATGCACATAGTTTGTAATCATAATACTATCAATAATACTATTAATGATATCAATTATATTTAACAAATATTCGCCGAAGGCGAGGTGAATATCGTCGAATAATCGCCGAGACGAAGTCGAGGGGATTATTAGACAATATTCACCGAATATTTGTTTTAGTATAATTTTAGAGCTGAACAACAGAGAAATTTCTAAAATCATAACATTTTAGTAATATTTATTAACATTTTATTTTAACATTTTATATAAACCGCGTTGAGCGGTTTATATAGCGTCATGTAAGGAACCGCTCGACCAATCAGATTTCAGGAAACTCTTTGCTCAGCTCTGAAATTATACTAACAATAATTATAATAATGATAATAGTGACGATGCCAATTTCTGATGATGATGATGATGTCGGTGACACTAACAATGCCATTGTCAAAGCTTCATACCTTTAATTGAACAGTGTACAAATCATGCACGTTTGATTGGACTTATGCGTCATGTACACGTGCGCAAACTGTTGTTGCCGAGTTACCTTTTGTCGTTTTTCAAATGTATAAACGTATAAAATGTAAAATGTATAAAGTTTTAAAATGTATAAACGATATCTGGCTTTTTTCTCATATTTTATCATAGCTTTGATTTATCGGCGACAGGACTTTGTGTCTTCCAATTCTGAACATAATCCTGCTCGTTATTGACAAATCGCACTCCCACCTCGCGGTCGTCCAATTTTGTCTATCACTCCCATGATTACAGACATAATTAGACTCCACTCAGTCCTATGACCATTATTAATTGTTATTAATAATTATTATTAATTTTGTTTATCACTCCCATGATTACAGACATAATTAGACTCCACTCAGTCCCATCACCATTATTAATTGCATGAACTGCCTGCGTATTCCGTGATTCCGTAAGTTTGTTGGCCGGCACCCATAGGACTTGCCGATAATCACAAAATGCTCCTTCGTTCATACGGTTTCTTATGTACATCATCCAACTACGGAGGTTGCAAAGAACAGGTGCGCGAGGTATATAAAAAAGTTCACAGGATATGAAACATTTGCAGTAATCTCATTTAGTATAATCCACTTTGCTTACGGTCATTTCTAGCCGTTTTGCACATGAAAGTGATCTAGATTGCAAGGGATATTTGGGCTACAATTACACTTGACATAGCTGCATATTCGGTTTGGTGATCTTTCTCGGTTTTCACCTTTAAGACTTTGACCAGTTAACTTGGGCTAATTCTTTTTGGTCTGCCATTTCGATCTTCGCACCGATCTTTGCTCCTATTAGACCAAACTCAGTAAGTTTTACAAGAGGGACTGAGACTTTCCTAACACCTATCCCGAGTCATGTGCTTGTTAATGCCAGTGCACGAATATTGTTCGCGAGAGAGTTGTTGAACGTTTTCGTCATAACTTTCAATGCAGAAAAACCGAAACAGAACAAACCTTTAATTTCCGTTTCGAGAGATTCCATCTCTTGCCGTACGGATCATGGACTGCAAAATATCTTTCGACGGCAATTGCAACCAGAGTGAATATGGCACATATTGCTGCATACCATGCGAAAGCTCCACCAGTTATCACCCGGCATAAAACTGTACCAGCCACCCCCTCTGGGTGCTTTATATTGAGACTCACAATAAGTTTTGGAGTAATAAGCAATGCAAAGACACCATCCGCCACAGCAAGGTTAAAAAGGAGAATATGAATGGGGGCCCTGCGGTGAGTAAAATATGCAGAGGCGTGATTAGTATTGACAAGAGGGTGTTGAGTTCGCTTATAAAATTGGCTTCCTTAGTTAGAAAACGTCGCAAAATTCCCGTGGGGTATAAAACCTCAGACTTTCCGCGCCTCGATGCTCAACTGCCGAGGTACAGAGGTTCAAATCCTCTAACGGACTCAGATATTCCCCATGTCCCAGGCTCGTGAGAAGAAGACAAAATATCTATCTAGATCTTTACTTTTTACCGAGCTGAAACATTTGCCATCTTTCACATACTATTTTGGATTAAATGTTTTGCGTTTACACCTTACTCTTTTTGCAGCTCTTAGAATAATCGGTCTGATCTTGACCGCTAGAAGCAGCGCCTACTGGAGAGGCGTCTTTAAAATAGATATTCCTTAATGGAGATGTTTTACTGTGTGCAACTTTTGAATATACCTGAGATTTCTATTTTTCCATATTATCGCACAAACAAGAGAATTCCCCACGATATCCACTGAGCAGAATATGAGGAGTATTGTTGTTACGATTATCTCAAATGCCATGACTCACGTGTCAGAGTTTTGTAACTACAAAAAAACAAACAAACAAGAGGCAGCGTCAAGTTATTTTGTATACTGCAGTTTAAATGGTCTTATGTCAAGCACAAATGAACCAAGATACAATTTTCCCCTTGATCACTGCAATTCATGTCCTTCAAAGATCAAGAGAAAGAGGACGTCACCAGACTAAACCAAACCGTTTCATGTCATGGTGGTGGTTTGCTTTAATACTTTTAGAGCCAAGGCTTTCTGCAAGACTGAGGCAATTCTATTATTGTTATTCCAATTCGGTGGTAACTACTTTTACCGCGGTTATCCCCCCTCCCCACAAACGCCCAACCTGTGCGTGGAGAGGGCCTCCACATCACAATGACGTAGTCAGGTTTTTCAGGTTTATGCCAAATAAGTTATTCAGCTGGTATGCTGTGAATTTTATGGGTTGGTATGTTAATGTAAGTTAAAGTAACTTTCGAAAGACGTCAGACAAAATGGTTGTCATGACAATCTTTTACGATAAAAAGTTTGATAAAATTAGCTTTAAAAAAATATAGATATAAAGATAAAAAGCACGCAGTTTTGATATTGATTTTACTGCAAACTAAACCCAATAACTTATTTCAGTTGAGTTTTTTTTTTTTGCCATTACCTTAAGAAGAAAAACACTTACCAAATTATGAAATTTAAGTGCCAATTTCTCAAACTCAAACCCTTGCTTATCATGTCAGATTTTTATTTCCATTCAGACACTGCATTTTCTTAGACGTTTTTCCAAAAAATTTTGAGTCAGCTGCATCGTTCTCTTTGCACCACCTTACATCTCATTACTTGGTCGATAAGGAAAAATTTTTACGCTACTTCTGGTCTTAGACAGCGAGCAACAATTCGAAACAGCAAAATAAACAAACATTTTTTATCCCGTCCACAAAATACTACAAAGGCCTTTTATAAATACCCTGTATTACGTGCTCCAACTGATATTAAAAACAAGTGGTTACTTTTTCCTGTATTTATATCCCTTTCCTTCGCTGTGCCTTTTTCTCATCAGCTCGATCTACGGAGTCTCAGCTGTCAACAAAGGATGGCTGTACAAACGAAATTTCCAACTGCAAACAAAAGAGTTATCCAGAAATGCAAAATATTAACTAGAGCTTAAACTCTAGTTTCTACAGAATAATTGTATCTTCCCTCGCTAATCCACGTGAATAACTCACTTGATGTGATATATCCGCAAACACTTCGGCGTATTTTAGTTATCAGGATCTTTTCTGTTCCGTTCCAGTGTTTAGTATCGTTGAAACTATCGGTCAGTCATCAACGTAAAGTTCCTTCTACCGTTTTGATGTCATTTTGTCCAACACCTTTTACTGACGGTATAAGACAGAGTCTAATAACTTTCCAAAAAGGAAAAAGCACTTAAGTACGTTCAAGATGTTCAGTATTTAGCGTACTTTTCCTGTCAATCGGTTTCCCGAGTGAATTATCAGAGCCCAAAAGAACCAACCTAAAGAACCAAGATGCTGCTCACATAAGCTTTACCCTTCTTGACAGAAACGTGTAGAGTTGATTAATGTCTCAAGTTATTAGGTTACCAGGCTTATATATGCATTGTGCAGCGATTTCGGAAAAAACAACCTATATTGCCTCAGCGTCACTGGAAAGCACTGCTTCCTTTCGAAGTAGGGCCCATATCCCGCTAGTGCGTATCTTTTTGTTGAGAGGCGGTCATATGTGGTAATTCTCGATAGCCCTATTTGCGTCATGCTTTGCCCAACAGATTTGCAAAGCTTAAACTGTTTTTGATAGTAAAAACATTAAAAGAAAATCTCACAGTGTAAAAGAAGTAAACGTTAATTACAAACCAGCAGTGCATAGCTTTCCCGACATAAATGTTGACGTGAGTGTGACCCACATACACGCTGCAGGTATTTACATCAGAGCAAAGGTCAGCACCCAAGCCGACTTTATTTCGATTTGAAGAGACATTTTATCGCTGACCAAAACTGCAGAATTCCTTCATTAAGGCTTCGAAAATATGTTTTCCTTGTATAGTTCACCCAGATGTTGTTGTTAGTTACAAAAATAATACCACATCTCAGTGCTTAGTCGGTCTCAATTCTAAATAAACTATTAGTTAGATTGGTATTGGTTTAATATCTCCAGTGATCTATTTCTGATCGACTGCTCATGAATATCAATTCCAAAATGACGTCCGATCGACAACAAAACCCTGTTATTATTATTATTTTTCCATTGGTCTCAATTCCGAATAAACTATTAGTTAGATTGGTATTGATGTAATATCTCCAGTGATCTATTTCTGATCGACTGCTCAAGAATATCAATTCCAAAATGACGTCCGATCGACAACAATATTCATTTGCCGAGCTTAAGTTATTTAAATACTTGCAAAGTTTGAATTAAGAGAAATCGACCATTCCCAAGTGTTATGAAGCCTCACTTGAGAATTCAGTCATTTCTGAGAGTACAGGTTTAAACGCATTCATTGAAATTTAAGGCAGTCTTATCTACTGAGTCCTATTGAATCAATTGAGAAAGCCTGATATGTTAAAACAACGTTTTCCAATCCGTAAATAATTGCAATGAAGATGTGATGTAAACCATTCACTTCACCTAGAAATTTCCAAGGCGTATGATTCATGAAAAGAGAAAAGATGGGATGAGAAAATATACACCACTGGTCTCAGATAAGAACTCTCAGTCACAATTAGAGCTAGAATCGTTAGATATAGCTTGTTAAAGCAAGACAAAGATATCAGACATGAGATGTAATTCCAGTCACAATGTTACTTAGTATGTTACTGTTTTTGGATGCCTTTAATCGGAAGAATATGACAACTTGTATAAGAACATCGGTGGGAGAGGTGAAATATAGTTTTGAGTTGAAATACTGAGCAAAGATAAAAACTTTACACTGACTTCTCTCCCGTTTTGGAAACACATTGGTCTTTCATACGAGGCAATTAAGCAAATTAATACCAGAAAATAAATTTTAATCTTGTTCCCAGGCATCTTCTGACAAAAAATCCAGCTCGGTATCCCCCATTCTTGATCATTAAAATTCTAATGAGCATATCAGATTTATTTAAATTTGTAGGAAAAATCACCATTCGAATCCAACTGGAGTGATCAATATTAGATTGTGTCAATAGAGGCCAACTCTTCTATGACGTCACGTGACACATGGCTATCAAACATCTTCTCAAGAGCGTCGTGTTTATCAGCCAGAACTGACACGAGCAACTCACAACGATCGCAGGTTTCTAGATGATCATGTGGACAGGTCATCTGATAATCCTTGTTCTTTGTATTACTCAGGGCATACGCTCTGCAATGGTCTGGAATGTTGGATTGCTTCGAAACGTGCACCTGCAAAGACAATATCAGTTAGTTTAAGATTATCACCTTTTATTTGCCTAGGTGAACACATGAAAGAAAATATGCTTCAGTAACGAGGAAAAATGGAATTTTTAAGCCGTCTTTTAAACAAATTCGAGCTTTCTAGTCACGTGACCAGAGACAACAACCTGAAGGTCGCTTAGAGTGTATCTTCTTGAAAACATTTAACAACACGTTAGGTTAAGTTTCTGTACGCTCCAACAAAGAAAATATATATCCACCGAAAATATATATCCACCGATCTAGTCTCCCACTTTTATCACTCAGGCAAACTGGAATTTCTAAATGCTGTATAAGATTTCTGTTTCAAATATGTGAAGTGCTGATCAGTGCCTGTCCTCGCACTGAGATAAAATGCCCTTTTAGACGTAGTGACGTTACTAATGATGTCATCATATCACGTTTGCAGAAAACATATACTTTAGGACAAGCGTCTTTTTCATGCTTGAACCTGTTTGATGAGATCTTTATATATGCATATCATAAAGTTTTTTCAATTTCGATCTTAAGATAACGCTTTGCAGACTTCAGCCGCTCCTTTGTTCCCTTACTTACTTATACAATCGAGACCTTGAAGAGGCTTTCGTACAGAGGCGAAACAAACAGTCAAGGTTCTCAAGACTATTCCTCGGCTCAGCGGAGAGAAGCCAAATTCCTGTGAATAGGTCAAACACTACTTGACCATAGACTCTGGTGTTATCATGCGGATAACATTTGGTACTGTGATGTTCTCTTTAGCTGACGGTTTTACTGATTTCTCCCTGAAAGGGAGAGTTCAGAGAGTTCGTATCAATTAAGGGCAAACTTAATTACCCAAGCCAGTTTTTACATGTTCTAGTACAATGTTTAGAGCACTTGTGGTTTGAGCCTCAGGGTAAACCAAGGTGTAGCATATGCGTAAAATTTTAATCGCGACTTTCAGCAAAAATGTAAATTTTTCGGTTAAAAATAAAGCAGTTCTCGGAAGGTTATTTATTGTTTCTGTTTAGATTACTGCTGAGATAAATATTTACCACCAAACTGGAAGTAAAACCCTCTTTGAACTGATGCATCGGAAAATATTTTATTTCGCTTTATTCCCTTTTGGATGCAAGCGAAGTTCTGAAAACGGCCTATTTCGACTTAAATTTTTGCTGTTTTGAAGTTGGCGACTGAAAAAATAGATTTTATCGATTTTCTCCAAATTAAAGCGCCCTTTCTGTAAACAAACCAGATCGCGTTTTGTTACTTACCAATCCTTATGGCTGGGCAAAATATCAGCGAAAAAAATTTTCGGCTTTGGCCGCGAAATTTCAGTTTTGCTCGATTGTTATAGGCATTGGCTCTTAAGTAGTGTTCATTACTACGAAGATCTCTTTGATAATTATTTCTTAACCGGCAAATGATGCCTTTTGAGTTTACTGCCAGGGTGTCTTGCGTCAGTTCAGGTAAAACTTCTAGACTAGCTCTCTAATAGAAAAACCACTACTTATATAACAGAGTACAAGACATTATAAATCTTACATATATTATTTGGTCCAGTACTAAATATATGCTAATGAATTTGATATAATCTTATATATTACGTGCAATAGATAGCTAGAACCAAATCCAAACCCAATCTACCAACTTCATCAGGGATTGACTTTAACATCTTTTGTCAAAAATATATTTTTATTAGAGTCCAAAAAATCAGTCATTACACTGAATGTGTATCATGCTTAGAAAATAAAAAAGGGTTTTTAATTTTTAAGCTCTGTATTGACTGCTGGGTTAACACGTCGATGTCTTAAAGCTCCTTCTTATATTATTTATTACAATTTAATGGCATAGTGGCATATTTACAGGAAAGAAAGAAAAACAACATCAAAAAAAAAATTCCAGAAGGTTAATTTGTAAAAGAGTTGCGTGACCCCATATTAAAACAAGGTAAGGTAAGGTAAACTTTATTTGATAAGTAGGTTGAGATTGTTTGGTAGCCGAAGGGCTGATCTGGACCTACTATACGCAATCAAAATTTGACAAACACAAAAGATATTAACAAAAGAATAAAAGCTATGTACCGGGAGAAATCAATATATCTACATTCAAAAAAAAAAAAGAAACCCAAAAAAACTGAGATTTACAAGAACCTCGTAAAAAAGAAAAAAAAAAAACAAAAAAAAATAACATATATATATATATAACTGCAGACAGTACTGTTTCGGCCTTCTGGGCCTCATCAGTGCAGTGCTAATGCTAGGATGGGGGAGAACCGAGACGGTCACCCCAAACGACCCAACCTTTGTGGTATCGTCTAAGCCATGTATATAATATATATATAACTGTAGAAAATACATATATCTTATTAACCAAGCGCGAGGGCCGTACTGGGAGAATATCGGCCCGAGGTCTTGACAGTACGGACCGAGCGCAGCAAGGTCCGTACAAAAAAGACCGAGAACCGATATTCTTCCAGTACGGTCCCGAGCAAGCTTGGTTAATAAGAGATTTATTATACTACTGAAGTTCAAAGGGACACAAGTGTGGTATCATTCGGGACCATTCGGGACAGTGCCCGGTCCAATACTTAGAGAATATTGGACCGGCAATAGAGCATTTTGATTGGTTGATTTTAGTTATTGGCCCTCTGACTGCCAGAGTCGTGTAATAATGATATATATTTAACAATTATTCGCCTCAGGTTCGGTGAATATCGTCGAATAATTCGACAATATTCACCGAACCTGAGGCGAATAATTGTTTCAGTATAACTTCAGAGCTGAACAACAGAGAAATCTCTAAAATCATAACATTTTAGTAACATTTATTAACATTTTAGTTGAACATTTTATATATAAACCGCGCGGAGCGGTTTATATAGCGTCATATAAGGAACCGCTCGACCAATCAGATTGTTAGAAACTCTTTGCTCAGCTCTGAAAGTATACTAAATATATATATACATAATCAAGGAATGGGTTGAAATCCTCATCAACTTAAAAGTGCTCAATAGCTGAACTAGAGCGATGAATTATAATCCAAGAGTTGGTTATTCGGTCATTTATTCGCTACTCTGAGTTTCATGCTTCATGCGAAGCAATCATCAGGCGGCTGTCAGAAATGACGGTTACGATCAGAGATATTTGAAAAGGGCACTCAGGCAGTGAATTTTTCTTCAATCGCATAACTGAATAGA